GGAGGCAGAAAAGGCCCAACCACCCTATCAATCCAGGTCTAGCAGCTCCAGGCCTAGATTAGTGGCAGGTCCAAGCTGCAGGTTTCAAGCCCAACTCTCAGCACTCTTATAGGTGCCAATTTTAGCCTCTGCATCTATTTTAGGCTCCACTGCCTTACCACTGGGTGAGCTGGTTGGGCTCCTCACCCCAGCACCACCCCCACGCTGCTCCTCTGCCCCCCTTGCCTAGCAACTCTCTTTTCCTGCACCCATTCTTCTGTTGATGATCCTTATATAACAAAGGGCAGAAGAAAGGAGAGCAAACAAGCCATGCCCAGTGAATGCTGAATAACAATTAGAAGCAGAAAGGACTTTCCCAGGTCAGGACTGGTTCCTTCAGGCTAGCACCTGCCCTGGCAGACCTATGGAAAAGACCTAGGAACTCCACAAAACCAGCCATCCTGAGGTTCCTGGCTCCCCAACTCCAGACTTACCTCCCCACAGTGGTCAGCCAAAGTTGAGGAATGTACTAAATTTAAAAACAGCCAGCGAGACACTGGGATTCTGGCCTCATGGTTCCACCCACTGGGGACCTAGAGACCTGGGTTAGGCTGGGACCTCAGCTTTTCTCCCAGGCCTGGATGCTGAAAGCTGAGGACAGAATTTTAAAGAGCCAACTCTGCCTGCATATCTAATAAACCAACTTGAATCCCAGTCTGAGAGTCTTTAGTAAAACAAACAAAACAAAACAAAACTCAAGTTAGATCTTCAAAGACTCCCAATCTCCAACTACCCCCACCCCAACCTTCAAGCTACTTTCCATACCATTTGTTTTTTTGTTTTGTGTCTGGGCATGGGGCCTGAACGCTGTCCCTCAGCTCTTCAGCTCAAGACTAGTGCTCTACCACTTGAGCCACAGCGCCACTTCCGGCTTTTTTTCTTTTTGCTTATGTGGTGCTGAGGAATCGAACCCAGGGCCTCAGGCATGCAAGGCAAGCGCTCTACCACTGAGCCACCTTCCCATTTGTTATCCTGAGCCTCACTCTTTGCCCTCTAGTTAAAAGGAAGAGGCCAGCACCAGTGGCTCATGCCTGTAATCTCAGGAGGCTGAAATATGAGGATCATGGTTTGAAGCCAGCCTGGGCAGGAAAGTTCTTGAGACTTGTATCTCCAATTAATCACAGAAAAAGCCAGAATTGGCGCTATGGCTTGAGACAGCACCCAAACCCTGACTTCAAGCCCCAGGATTGGCCAAAAAAAAAAAAGAGGAGGGGGGAGTGGAAAACTGTTCTCTACCTTTAAATGTTTAATCTGCATTTACTGAGCTAAGCCTGCAGCTGGACTCCCATTTTCATTTTCTCTATCCTCTGGAGCAATGAATACTTTCCCTTGGGTGTCCCCCACTTTCCTAATCCCCTTTTTCATTCCAGCTCTCACATCACTTCTATCCAGTGATATTTTCCAGATTTTCAAGAAATATTATTTTAGGTTGATGGCGGTAGACTAAGCTACTTGATAGGTAAGGATCAGGAGAATCACAGAAAAAGGCCAGCCCAGGCATAAACTTAGCAAGGCCCCATCTCAAGCAATAACCCTGGTATGGTGGTAAGTATCCCCAGACATCCAGCTATTCAGGAGTCCATAAAATAGGTGGATCAAGGTCTGAGGCAAATCCCAGGCAACAATGACAAACCATGCCTGGCACCGGTGGCTCATGCCTGTAATTCTAGCTACTAAGGAGGCTGAGATCTGAGGATCGTGGTTCAAAGCCAGCCTGGGAAGAAAAGTCCATGATACTCTTATCTCCAATAAACCGCTAGAAAACCAGCCGTGGCACTGTGGCTCAAGTGCTAGAGCACTGACTTGAGCTGAAAAGCACAGGGACACCGCCCAAGCCCAGAGTTCAAGCCCCACAACCGACCAAAAGGAAAAAAAAAAAAAGACCATATCTAAAGCACAAAAGGGCTAGAGGTATGGCATAAATGAGTAGTAGAGTGCTTGCCAAGCAAGCACAAAACCCTGTGCTCAGGGCTGGGAAGGTGGCTCAGTGGTAGAGCGCTTGCCTTGCAAGCATGAGGCCCTGGGTTCGATTCCTCAGCACCACATAAACAGAAAAAAAAAAAGCTGGAAGTGGCACTGTGGCTCAAATGGTAGAGCGCTAGCCTTGAGCTGAAGAGCTGGGGGACAGCGCCTAGGCCTAGAGTTCAAGCCCCACGACCGGACCCCCCAAAAAAACCCTGTGCTCAAATCCATTATGGAAAGAAAAAATAAAAAAAAGAGAGGGGTAGGGGTAGAGAGGAAGAAAGAGAGATAAAAAGAAATTAGATATACAAAGCCAAAATTTCCTCTAGAATCTAAAGTAGCCACAATCTTTAGTTTGTTTAACTAGACAAAATACACTCCTCTCATTTCGGTGCTAGAGAGGATGCCTCAGGTAAGGTCCTGGTTGCCGGATGCTTAGCCAGTAAGGGAGCAAAGGGCCTGCAGCTCTGTGTACTCAAACTCCACTCTGTCCAGAACAAGTCTGCTTTCCTTCTGATTCTTCCGCACCTTCTGCATTCTGGGAAGGGGGGGTTATCCAGCAGAGACTAGTGGAAGAAAGCTGATTTGCTGAGTGACTGAGAGATGAAGAGGCCACATAGAAAGGAAGGAAGCCCCACCTCATATTGGCTGTAAGATATTAGATAAAGAGCCCAGCCTCAAGTTTATGTGGTCTGTGAAATGGCAATTAAAAATACTTGACCTAGCCGGGTGCCAGTGGCTCAAGCCTGTAATCCTAGCTACTCAGGAGGGTGAGATTTGAGGATGGCAGTTCAAAGCCAGCCCAGGCAGGAAAGTCTGTGAGACTCTTAATCTCCAATTAACCACTCAGAAAACTGGAAGTGACACTGTGGCTCAAGTGGTAGAGCGCTAGCCTTGAGCTGAAGAGCTGAGGGACAGCGCCCAGGCCCAGAGTTCAAGCCCCAATGCCAACAAAAACAAAACAAAACAAAACAAAAAAAAACCCTTGACCTTTACTGGAGTCAATATAAGAAGGTGTCTGGATGGGGCTGGGAAGGTGGCTCAGTGGTAGAGCGCTTGCCTTGCATGCCTGAGGCCCTGGGTTCGATTCCTCAGCACCACATAAGCAAAAAGAAAAAAAGCCGGAAGTGGCGCTGTGGCTCAAGTAGTAGAGCACTAGTCTTGAGCTGAAGAGCTGAGGGACAGCACCCAGGCCCAGAGTTCAGGCCCCAGGACTGGACCCAAAAAAAAAAAAAAAAAAAAAAAAAACAAAGTACAGGATGGGATCCAAAAACAAAACAAAACAAAGAAAGTGGTCAATTACAATGCCAGTCAAAGAGGTAGACACGAGCACCTCCTCCTCTCCCTGCCTTCCTGCTGAGTGGCTCTCCAGCCCCACCCTGATGTTTACTTGCTAGGCCCCCTAGCCTGAAGTGGGTACAAGAGGAGGAAGAGATATATACATTCATGAGGTAGGAGGGAGGCGACCAGGGCTGGCCAGACAGAAATAAAGACAGGCCCAGAACAAGTTGCAGAAAGGCCGAGAGGGACAAGATCCTGACTTACTCTGCCTCTTTCTTCTTCTCTATTTGAGCTTCAAAGCCTCTACCCATTAGCAAATGCAGCCTGGTCAGAAGCTGGATGGCTCCCCGTCCCCCCACTGCTGTTCACCACACTGGAGGAAAAGAAGGGTTCTCTTAAGACTCTCCTACATTTAACTAACAGTCTGTGGGTAGGGTGAGCTTGAACCCCAAGAGCTCTGTGTTTGTTTTCTAGAGATCCTTCCTCCAACTGACAGAAGAAATCTTTGTCTCCTCTGCCCACAGGCCAAACTGCCACATCCAGTGGCTTTAAAATTCCCCACCTGCTCCTGAGACATTCAGAGACACACCCGCTCATGCCTTTCTCAGACCCAACTTATCCATGGCCTGTGGGAGACGGTGCTAACAATGCACCTGCTTATATCTCTACCTTCTTCTACCCACCCACCACAAGGCAATTTTGGCTTAGAAGAAATCCCAAAGGAGGGCCCTGGCCTTGAGATGGGGTAGGAAACCCAACTAGGAGAAAAATCTCCTGACTCTTACAAGTGAATAGGATGGTATCTACTCTGAGGATTCATCTCGAGGCTAGGAGACCATCTAGGTTGGAAAACATGCATATGTGGGGCAGCCATGAGAGGAAAAGTAGTAGTTTGTTCTGCTACTAAATAGTGCACCGTCTGCAAAAAATAAAGTGGAAATGAAATGAATTTGGGCTGTAGTCAGAGCTCCTGAACTCAGCAGAGCTGAGGACTGATGACAGAAGGGAGAGCGGTGTGCCTTCATTTCCTTGGATCAGAACGCATAGGGCCACACAGGCACCATGTGCATGTGCTTCATAATCACATACTTTCCTAGCTTCCACACCACCTATGGTCTTATTTCAACTCTTTCAGCTGTAACACCCACCCATAAAATTATGAGTGTAAAAGCACTTTGCAAACTAATACTCTATGAAGAAGTAAAAAGTATCACTGTAATTATTATCATTATTCTGTCCAACAGGCAAGATTTCTGCTGCCCACCTCTTAACTAGATGAGGTCTAAAGTGAGGGAGGGCCAAGCCATTCTGAAACTACTGAGGCTTTTGGCCCATTTCCTCTTGCAGCTGTTCACAGCTGGCTGAGCTGGAGGCATTGGAGGGGGGGGGGGCGGGCAGCAGGGTGGGAAGCAAAGAAAAGGTAATTTACTGAGCCACAGACATATTAGTTTGGTGACAGATAAAATGTTCTCTGACCATTTGAGTCATCTCCCTGATTCTCTAATAGGGAGAGCTAGAGAGGGGTGGCATGGAGAGAAGCTGTGGCACTGTGGCTCAAGTGGTAGAGCGCTAGCCTTCAATTGAAGAGCTGAGGGACAGTATCCAAGGCCCAGAGTTGAAGCCGGAAGACTGACAAAAAGAAGGAGGAGGAGGTGGGGGTGGGGGGAAGCAGGGAGGACAGCAGGTGTAGGCCGCCTGCTTCCCAGGCTAACTCCTACCTTGGTTTTGCCCGTCATGCTCAAGAGGAAGCTGAAGGTCCGCCGCAGGGAAGAGCCTGCCCAGACACCTGAGTCCCCTTCCAGCTGGCTACAGCTGCAGAGAGAAAAGGAAGTTGTGAGGAGATGGGACACAAAGTTAGAAAAGAAGAAAAAAGTACTCCCAGAGAAGCAGAGGATGACAGGCCCCTGACCTGCGGAGAGGGGCTGGAAACAGGAGGAAAGACTCTGAGAAAAAAAAGATGAGGGACAAAAGGGAGGAAAAACCACCTCTACCTCCTAGAGCTTCCTGGATGTGAACACATCAGCTTTCCAGGCCCCTCTATTTAAGAGGAAACTCCTCCAGGCTCCTCCCAGACACATTGCAGACTCCCCTTCCTACCTAATCCAGGCTCCAGATGGGAGGACCCAAACTCCTTTCTGTTGCTCTCCAACAGAAGTGGATGGGGTGAGTTCCCTCCAGGGGGGCATTTTCCCCGCTCCAAACAAGAGCCCTGTGTAGACCCTTGCTGTTTGGAAAGAGGCTCTGGGCCTACAGCCAATAAAGACTGAATTTCCTGGGATTTCATCAGCCCCATCCCATGAGCTAATCCCAAACTCAGAGCCAGAAGGATGTGTCAGCTAGAGAGTTTTCAGGACCACAAATCAGAGCCTGATATCTTAAAGGGCCCATTACTTGCTCTCTCTCATGGGCAGAGTTAGAGGGCTGTCTCACTCTAATGAATCTTCAGCCACACATGCCAAACAGGTGCTGATTTTGCATGCTTATTTACATAGTTACTGGAACTCCTTTCCTGAGCTGTGTGCTTTAGGCTCTGCCCTCTTCTGGGACTTCTCTTCTCATTGGTCATTTATCTGAGTCATCCAAAACCCATCCATAGTCCTTGGTCACTACCTCTGCATAAGGCTGTCAATCAGCTGATCTGCCAGCTCACCTTTGTGTCATTAACAACAACAAGCAACTCTCGCTCTTCTATTTCTTTTCATCCCTTAATCTCTCCTCCATCCCAAGGATGAATTCTATGCAGCTCGGGGAGAAGGATCTCTGATATTTAATCCGAAATGTTCAAGAAAATAGTGTTTCAGGAAGCGGAGAGACCCTTGGGACTACAAAACCCCATGGCCTAGACTCATCTCTCCTCCCGCATCTAGGCCTGTGAACAACAAGTCCCCCAAACTCACCGTTTGTTGAGGTCAGTGCAAGAGGAATGGGACAAATTCCCTGCTAACACAAAAGGAAAAGAAAAGTGTCCAGTTAAAGCCAGACAAAAGCGCCCAGGGCTGCCTCCCCCACCCCCTCCACCTGGATCAGGTTCCCAGGCTGCAGGTGCATGTGACGCCATTCCTGAGGGCGGGCACTGGGGAGCAGGGATGAAGGGCGGGGTCTGATCAAGGCAGAGCTGAAGAGCTTAGGAACCAGGGTTACATGAAGGGTACTGGAGCCTGATATTTTAGTCCAGTTTCAGTGAACGAGGAGGGTTGAGGTTTCACAATGAGCTCCCAACACTCCATCTTGAAGACAAGATGCATTGCAGGAAAATGATCTCCATCTCTGGTGATAGTTGATTTAGAAAGCCTCACTCTGTCCTATGTTCCCAGCTTTTCATTGGCAGGAGAGTGTCACAAGGGCCAAACCCCAAACTTAAGACCTCTTCTCATTGGTAGGGGGGTGGGGATGGTATCAAGGAAGAGTAGGTATAAATAATGCAGGGCATATGGACCTTAAATAACTGGCTTTGAGGACTAGAGATGAGATGGGCTGGGGAAAGTGCCACCACTACTTTGCCCCCACTTTTACTCACCATCTGAATTTGAGTAGTCCAAGAGGTAACTGATGTTATTCATGGAAACAGACTTGGAAAGCATGCCAGGGGTCGAGTGGTGCAAAGAGCCAGCAGGTGGGTGACAGGAGCCCTGACCCTAGAACACATCAAGAGTCCTCATACCAAGGTCATGCTTGGCACACCCTCCCACTATGTCCTTTCATTTTTCCACTGCTTAGCCCTTCTTTAAAACCAGACCTCCCAATCTTGGCACTAGGAGCTCATGCCTGTAATCCTAGCTACTCAGAAGTCTGAGATCGGGCTCGAAAGGTGGCTCAGTGGTAGAGCGCTTGCCTTGCATGCATGAGGCCCTGGGTTCGATTTCTCAGCACCACATAAACAGGGAAAAAAAAGCCGGAAGTGGCACTGTGGCTCAAGTGGTAGAGTGCTAGCCTTGAGCTGAAGAGCTGAGGGACAGCACCCAGGCCCAGAGTTCAGGCCCCACGACTGAAAAAAAAAAAAAAAGAATCTCAGAGACTTTCCTCGGCTTCAAACCATGATCCTCCTATCTCAGCTTCCTAAGTAGCTAAGATCACAGGTATAAGCCACCAGTGGCTGGGTTTTATTCTTTCTTCTTCTTTTTGAGACAGGTTTGTTGGCCTTGAACAATGATCCCAGCTTGGCCTCCTTGGTCTCTCAAGGGCTGGGATTACATATATTGTGCCCCCAAACCTAAATTTTTTTCCTCTTCCCCCTCCTCCTCCTCTTCCTCCTCCTCTTCTTCTTCACCATCATCATTATCTTCTTTCCTATTATTATTTTTTTTTGGGGGGGTCCGGTCATTGGGCCTGAACTCTGGGCCTGGGCACTGTCCTTCAGCTCTTCAGCTCAAGGCTAGCACTCTACCACTTGAACTACAGTACCACTTCCGGCTTTTTTCTTTTTTCTTATGTGGTGCTGAGGAATCGAACCCAGGGCCTCATGCATGCAAGGCAAGCGCTCTACCACTGAGCCACCTTTCGAGCCCGATCTCAGACTTCTGAGTAGCTAGGATTACAGGCATGAGCTCCTAGTGCCAAGATTGGGAGGTCTGGTTTTAAAGAAGGGCTAAGCAGTGGAAAAATGAAAGGACATGCAAGGCAAGCGCTCTACCACTGAGCCACCTTCCCAGCCCAAATTGCTTTTTTTTTTTTTCGGTCATGGTGTTTGAACTCTGGGCTTGGGCACTGTCCCTTCACTCTTCAGCTCAAGGCAAGCACTCTACAGCTTGAGCTACACTGCCACTTCCTCTATTATTATTATTTGCTATTTTTTAGTTTAAATTTGGGGCCCACTATTATTGGGGCTTGAACTCAGGGCCTGGGTGCTGTCCCTGAGCTTTTTTTTTTTTGATAGATCATGGGACTTGAACTTTGGGCTTAGGCACTGTCCCTGAGCACTTCAGTTCAAGGTGAGCACTCTACCACTTAAACAACAACTCTACTTCGGGTTTATTGGAGATAAGAGTATTATGGACTTTCATACCCTGGCTGGCTTTGAACAGTGATCCTCAGATCTAAGCCTCCTCTGAGTAGCTAAGATTACAGGCATGAGCCACCGGCGCCTGGTCCTTGAACTTTTTTGCTCAAGGCTGGGGTTCTACCATTTGAGCCACACAGCCCCTCTTCTGGTTAATTGAAGATAAGAGGCTCTCGAACTTTTTTGCCTGGGCAGGCTCTTTCTTAACCTCCTAATTAATTAGATTATAGGCATGAGCCATGGGTACCCAGCTTATTACTTTTCTAACCTATGTGTGATTACAGGGCGTTTGCTTCCTATTTTACTGTACTGTAAGGTCTCTGTGTTTCATTTTGCTAAATTGAAAATAATCTCTGGAAAAAACAGAACTCTAGAGCTAGGGGTATTACTCAGTGAGGTAGTACAGTCAAGACCTGCATGTAGGTTTGATTCCCAGAAGGAGGAAAAAGTAAAAAGATTTTTTTTTTTCTTTTTTGGTAGGTCATGAGGCTTGAACTCAGGGACTGAGCACTATGCCTGGGCTTTTTTGTTTAAGGCTCACATTCTACCACTTTGAGTTCAGTTCCATTTCTGGTCTTCTGGTGGTTAATTGGAGATAAGAGTCTCACAGACTTTCTTTCCCAGGCTGGCTTCAAACCATGATCCTCAGATCTCAGTACTTCTTTTTTTTTTTTTTTTGCAGTCCTGGGGCTTGAACTCAGGGCCTACACACTGTCCCTGAGCTTCTTTTGCTCAAGACCAGCACACTACCACTTGAGCCACAACACCACTTCTGGCTTTTTCTGTTTATGTGGTACTGAGGAATCAAACCCAGGGCTTCATGCATGCGAGGCAAGCACTCTACCACTAACCACATTCCCAGCCAATCTCAACCTCCTAAGTAGCTAAGGTTATAGGCATGAACCACCAGCTCCTGGCAAAAAGATAGTTTTAAACTATATAATAATGAAAAGACTTTGGGAAATAGCCAATTGATATTTCAAGAACAATTTATAGCCTTAAATTGTCTAAATTAAAAAGTTTTAATAGTTGAAAATTAGTTTTTGTCAATTTAAGAAGTTAGAAAAAGATCATTAGAATAAGCCCAAACAAAACAGAAAATTTGCAAGTAGAAGCAGAAGCTGGCTGCCAATTGCTCACTCTTATAATCCTAACTATTCTGGAGGCTGGGATATAAGAATTGAGATTCAGAAGCTGGGCGCAGGTGGCTCACGCCTGTAATCCTAGCTACTCAGGAGGCTGAGATCTGAGGATCGAGATTCAAAGCCAGCCTGAGCAAGAAAGTCCGAGAGACTCTTATCTACAATAAACCACTCGAAAACCAGAAGTGGCACTGTAGCTCACGCAGTAGAGTGCTTGCCTTGAGCTGAAGAACGCAGGGACAGCGCCTAAGCCCGGAGTTCAAGTCCCACAACCGACAAAAAAAAAAAAAAAAGAATTGAGATTCAGAGCTAGAACAGGTAGAGAATTCTCAAGAGTCTTATCTCCAGTTAACCAGCAAAAAGCCAGAAATGGAGGTGTGGCTCAAGTGAGAGAGTGCCAGCTTGTGTGAAAAAGTCAGTGAGAGTCTAAGACTTTGAGTTAAAGCTCTAACACTAGCAAATAAATAAGTATAGAAATCAATGAAATGGTAAAAAGACACAAAATAGCATTAATAAAGCAAAGAGTTATGCTTAAGAAATAGGCAAATAAACTTGTAAGCCTCTGGTAAGAATGACAAAGACAGAGAGAAATCAGAAATAAAATTTCAAATAAAAAAGTAGACATAACTACATAAAGAGCAACAGTTAAAAAGAGAACACTGCCTACCAACTTCATGCCCTTAGTTTCAAAAAAATGCAAACAAAATAAGATAAATTCTTATAATGTATGGATATTAACTTACCAAAACTGAATCAAGAAGAAAGAGAAAATCTGAATGGTCCTATCAAAGAAATGGAATCAATCATTAATCTTTCTGTTAACATAACGAAACAAAAACACCAGGCCAAATAGTTTTGGACAGATCTTTCAAGAACAGATCATATGAACATAAATTCATTGAGTTGGAGAAAACAAAAATTATAATTCTCCAACTGTCCCTGCATGAGAAGTATAACCTTAATTCTAAAACTCACATGGACAAAATAACCAAGGAAAAGTATGGGCCAATGTCTTTCATAGACATGAAATACAAAAATCCATAATAAAATTTTAACATTTTAAATGGTCACATACTATTTGCAGCTTCTACTAAGAAAGATTATTTCTTCATTCTTTCACTCTGGCCTGACCTGCGACTATGATGAACACAATGTGACAGAAGTAGCATTATGTGAATTTTT